ACATGATGCACTATTTCCGAGACAAGATATCCAATTTTCTTATGTTTATATATGTTGAGGTTGAAATGTTCGATTTGAGGAATTTTGAGCATCGAAATAACCTTTTTTAGTGAATTTTTGAGGTGTGCTTAATTTAATTGTTTAGGGCTTCACCCTTATTTAAATATATAATAGGATCGTATATTTTTTGTACATTATGGTCACAATAACCTCAAGCCATTAGATGTGAAATTTTGGGTGACTAGGAAACATTTAACTACCCTCAAAGTCAAAGAAAAAGTTTATGTAACATTTGACCTACTAATTTCTCGTCTAACGGCTAGGGATGATGACAATATTCTTATATCAAAGTTATACGGAATTCCATACAAATAGCTTGTGTCCAACCTTTTTTTTTTCTTGGCAGAATAAATAGGTCAATGCATTTTCTTTTTTCTTGAGTAGTTCAATGGTAGGTATTAAACTTGTGTAATATTATGTAATCTCTTTAGTTTCTAGTTCTATTGTTTCAGGTGCCTACAATTTTTTTTCAAAACCCAATTGTGCCTATAATATTTTTTATGTTTTGTTTATTTTATGTGATAATATAAAAAAAATAAATGTTAATTTTAATCATTTTTTATATTATTTTTTGAAATGTTTTTTTTCAAATTATATTATTCAATAAAAATTAGGGCACTAATCGGTCGATTTAATAAGAAACGAGCTGACTAGTCAGAATAATCGGCCCGATTTGTTCTTTTGAACCCTGTGTGAAAGTATGGAAGGGATTGCATGAGACTGTATACATAGACATTGTGAAAGTATGGAAGGGATTGCATGAGACTGTATACATAGACATTGAATCGTCAATCCAGCGAAGTCATTACATTTGAACTATAGCGGCTCACAGTTGCATCCAAACAATCAATGCTTGGTGCATGCTACCAATCTGATGGCCATAGGTTACATTTAAAGCCCGAATCGATGGGACAGATTGTTCATCCACGGATCCGTATCCAATAGCTGAATTGACGATTTAGATAGTATTTAAATCAATTTGAATCGGTGGTCCAAAAAATATTAAATAATAAATAAAATAATAATTTTAAACCCATAAAAAACTATGTTAAACCTATAGCATTTTCAATATAGAAATGGCGGTGATCCAATATTTAGGTTCGAGTCTAAATATTGGACCCCGAATACTATGCGGTCCGGGTCCATACTTCGAATAGTATTATTATTCAAATAATATCTAATATATTAAGGGTGTGGTTTAAACAATCCAATTAAGGTGCACCTTTGAGTTTTGTTATAAATATAATTTTGATATAAAAAATTCTTAGAATGGCTTGAAAATCTATTTTCATCTCTATTGTAATACTTTAAACTTTAAAAATGGTTCAAATCAAGTAGATCTATAAACACATGAAAATCTTGAAATTTGACGGTATAAAAAATGTGTATTAAGATATATTATTTTTCAAACTCAAAATATTTTTTTTCTTTTCATGTTTATACATCTCGATGTCGAGATGATCAATTAGAGGGTTTTCCAACTTCAAAACAACTTTTTATGATGGATTTTTGAGGTGCAATCTTAATTCTACATTTTAAGGTTGCAACTTTATACAAACTTTTTCTTATAAATAAATATAATTATAATATATATATATATATATATATATATACCCAAATGATCACTATTAAATTTGACACAGACATATAGAAAAGTTATCACATGGGTGTGAGACTTGACTTTTTTAGAGATATGTACCAAATTTAATAATGATCCTTTGGAGTCTTACACACATGGGTGTGAGAGGGTCTCATAAGGTCATTTCCCATTTAATATAATTAAATATTATATTTAAATAAATGAGATTATATACAATAAAATTATTTACCTTTGATATAAAGTGGTCATAATTTCTTACAATCATTTGATGTGAAATTTGATAGCTTGGATGTGTTACAAAGTTCAAAAACTTTTATTTTTTCAAATTTGAATTTGATCAAGGAAATAATTACAGCCACGCAATTTCACATCTTATGGTCAATATTATTGTGCCTACCTTGTATCAAATCTAAATGGTCATAAATGTATCCTCAAATTCATCTTCTCAATGTCAATGGTCAAGAATATTGTGACCACGCATTTTTGGGTCGAATCCAATCGAGTCCGGATCCGTGTCCTATAATTCTTTTTTCGGGTCAAGGTCAACAACCCTAGAACTTTTCTGGGAGAGGGACATGTCGATCTTTACTTAAAAGAGCGAGGGCATGTCTGCCCGATTCTATTATTTAGAGGGAAAAGTTTGTATAGAGCTAAGGCTCTAAACAATCAAATTCAAGCCTACATAAAAATTTTATTAGAAGAGGTCTTTTTTATGTCAAAATATCATCAAATTGATCATCTCGGCATCAAGAAGCATGGACATAAGAAAAAAATGGATTTCAAGTTTTGGAAATAATATATTTTGTAACACATTTTTGGACCATCAATTTTCACGATTTCAAATGTTCATAGATATGACGATCTATACTATTTTTAAAGCTAAATAAAAATGAAAATATATTTTAAGGCTATTACCATGATTTTCAGTATTGAAACCACATTTCGCGATTTTAATTGAAAATAAGCTTTAATTTGATTGTTTAGAGCCTAGGCTCTATACAAACTGCACCCTTATTTAAATTCTCTCTCTCCGGCTTTGGGAGCAGTAGAAGCAGTACATCATGAACAATTATGGTTCATATAAAGATGCAGGCCTTTTTTTCATTTAATTATTATTAAATAATAATGCCATCACTTTTTCTTTTGGGAATTGGGGCACATTTGCCTCGTAAATGGGGTGCCAAATCCAATAAAAAAAATTGAAAATCCCCCAATTATTTTTCTAATCCAATAAAAACCGGTTAAAAATCCCCCTTTTGGTTTCTTTGTTTTTTTTTTTTTTAATCAAAATAAACTCGAAAGATCTCCCAATTTTTTACTTCATGGTTTTCTTCATTTTTATTTAAGATAAAAACCCATTAAAAATAGGGAAAAGTTTATATAAAACCGAGGCTCTAAACCATCAAATTGGAGCCCCTCCAAAAAATTTACTAGAAGAGGTTGTTTTGATACCTAAATATCCCCAAATTGATCATCTAGACATCAAGATGCACGGACATGAGAAAAAAAATGGATTTCGAGTTTTGAAAATAGTGTATCGTGTAACACATTTTTGGACTGTCAATTTTCAAGATTTTAAAGTGTTCATAAATTGGCTCGGTGTACACTATTTTTTGAGCTTTAAATTTTATAATTAAATATGAAAATATATTTTAAGGATATCACAAAGATTTTCAATAGTAAAACCACATTTTTCGATACTATTTGAAAGTGGGCTAGAATTTGATTGTTTAGAGCCTCGGCTCTATACAAACCGCACCCTTAAAACTATCCCTCTTTATAATTTCACAGTTTTTGTCTCTTTCTAAGATCAAAGACCTTTAAAAAAATTTGCCTACATTTATTTGATTTTATTTCTTAATTATATTTTCCAATCCTAGAAAACCCCCGCAAAAAAAAAAAAAAAAACAAAGGGTGTAGTTTGTATAAGGCTGAGGCCCTAAAACATAGAAGTCACGTGCACCTTCAAATGGTATCATAAGATAAAGTTTCAATATTGAAAATCTTTATGATAGTTTGAAAATTTATTTTTAATCTAATTATAAAATTTAAAACTTAAAAAATAGTGTAGATCAAATAGATCTATTAACACTTGAAAATTGACTGTCTAGATGATACATTACATAATACATTATATAATGCACTATTTTTAGAACTTAAAATTCATTTTTTTTTAAAAAAAAACCCACGGATTTTCTCCCTCTCACATCTAATTATTTATGCTACAATTACTTTTTCTTCGATGTATTCTAATCCTATAAAAACCCACAAGATCTCCCTATTTTTTTATTTTTTTCTTCTGCTTATTTATTCCTCTTTTACAACTGTAACTTAATACCCACCACTTGGCCTCAACCCATGAGCCATTCGTTACCTCTCTAAGCCCCTCTTTAATGGCAGATAAAAGACTGCTTTATACTCTCTGAAACAGGTGAGCTGATACTTCTATGGAAATCCTATCAATTGTAAACCCGGTTCTACTTTTTTTTATTCATATACTTGATTTTCAAGTATTTTTCTCTTCTTTTGTTTTTTTTTAAAACTAAGAATCATCCTTTAAGTTCATGAATGTCCATTTTTCCTTTTTTTTTTTTGTATATTTTTTTGTTTTCTATTACTCAGAAATCTGACGTTTGGAATCATCATTTGAACATTTTATATGTTTTTTTTTGTTCAGAAAGATTTTTTTATTTAATTTAGGTCCTTTTTTTTTATTTAATTTACTGAATTTTTAAGAATTTTAATTTTTACTCGATCCATCTTTTAATCTCAATAATATCCTATTGGAAAAAGTCTATATAGAGCCGAGGCTCTAAACAATCAAATTAGAGCCTGCGTCAAAAAATTCACTTGAAGAGGTTGTTTTGAGGCCCAAATATCTTCAAATCGATCATCTCGAAATCGAGATGCATAGACATGAAAAAAAATAAGATTTCAAGTTCTGGAAATAATACATCTTGTAATGCATTTTTAGACCATTAATTTTCAAGTTTGGATTGATCTGCTTGATCTATATTATTTTAAAAAATTTAAATTTTATAATTAAAAATAAAAATATTTTTTAAAGCTATCACACAGTATTGAAACCATATTTGTTGATACTATTCGAAGGTGTGCTTTAGTTCGATTGTTTAGAGCCTCGGTCTATACAAACTGAACTCTATTTTTTTTAGCTTATCTGTTTTACCTTTTCTTTTAAAAGTTTCTATTTTTAATTGCTCAGAAATCGAAGTCATGATTCAAGCATTTTATCTGTTTTTTTTTTGTCTCGTTTTGTTCAGAAAGCTTCAACTTTTTCTTTATTAATTGCAACTTTTGCTTATTTTCAAATATTTTATTTTGTTTTCGATTTGTTCAGACTTCAGAGAGTGATCAGGCTGGTCTCTCTCTGCTTTTCTTTTTCCTTTATTTCTTTTTCCTTGAATTTTCTGTTGTAAAAAAAAATGACTGTAAAGTTTTTGTTCATGAACCTTCAGTTTGACTTGCTTTTCAGGTTTTGGAGCCGTTAGATTTTATCTCCTTACTCATCCCTGCAAAATAAAATAAAATTAGGAACTTAAATTTGAAGTATTGTATTAGTAGTTTGACTTTTTTTTGTTGTTTTGCAGTCACTGATTTCATATTATATTTTTGCATTTAAATTATTTTTCATCTGTTCTTTTAAGAATGTTATTACGATTTTTCAGAGAACGACGCAGCTTTTACTTTTGCTTTTTGTGTCTACCTAAAATGCTTTTTTCGAAGTTTCTAGCCGTTGGATTTGACGTTTTATTGCAGGCTTTTTCTTTTTCACTGGAAAAGTAAAAAAATTTAATTGCATTTGAATTATTTTAACCATTTTCGGCCATTTTTTATATACATCTTCTTCTGAAACCGTTGATTTGATCAGATTCTGGTTCTAATATCGAATTCACTTCGAAAAACTTAAGATTTTTTTTTTTTGGGGGAAAAACTGAGGTATAAAACTATAAATTAGTTTTCTGATTGGAATCTTTGCTGTGTATTTATTCACTCATTTTCCTTAACATCTATTTGTTTATTTTTTTTCCTATTTTTTTTGGGTAATTTCAGGTGAGATTTTTAATCAAAACTTTGCATCTCCTTCTTCCATATTGGAGCTGAAATTTCGGCCTTTTCTATTAAAAAAATGCGGTCTTTGTTTTCATTTTGGGGATCTTGTGGACTGGAGTGTTTCTGGTTCGGAGTCCCTTTTCCATTGGTTTCAATTCAAAACGTTTAATTATCTCTTAAGAAACCTTCGATTTCAATTCTGTAAAAAAAAACAAAAAAATAGCATTGGTTTCAGTCTCATCTTGTACTCTTTTCAACTATCCTTGGAGATTTGCGAGTTTTGCTGTAAAGTTTTTGAATATCTCTTCATCTCTTTTGAGTTGTTTGTTTTTTTGTTTTTCTTGTGTAGAACTCTGCATTTTGTTCTAAACATTTTTATTTGCTGTAATTTTGAATCTCTCTCTCTTTTAAGCATTTTTAGTTCTTCGCTGTAAATTTTTTAATCTCTCTCTTTTGAACTTCGCAATCTTTTTTCCTTTATTTTTGTAGAAATCTGTCTATTGATCTCCAAAGTTTCTTGGTTTTTGCAGCATTTTTATCTCAAATCTCTATGTTTTTGCGAGTTTTCCACTGTAAGCTCTCTCACTCTGTGGTGAACTTCTTAACCCTTTTTTCTTGTAGAAATCTGTACTCTCTTATCTCTCTCTCTGAAACAGTATTCCATACTCTTCAAATCTCCTTGGTTTTTTAAGCATTTTTAGCTCAAATATCTACTGTTTTGCAGGTTTTTCGCTGTAAAATTTTTGAATATATCTCTCTCTTGTGTAAGATTTTGAATCTCTCTTTTCAACTTTAATCCATTTTTTTAAGATTTCGAAAGCATTTTTAACTCAAATCTCAGTGGATTTGCAATGTTCACTGTAAAATTTTCAATCAGTTTTTTTTTTTAGATTTTTTATTTTATTTTACTGAAACCGCATTGTGTTTGAAATTTACGCTGCTCTCTGAACTCAACTGATTATTTGCAGGGTTTTTTTTCCAGGGATTGAATTGCAGTTTTGGGGCTACAGTCTTGTGAGCTTCTTTGACGAGGTAAGCTCAGTGAAAATGAAAAAGCTCCATATATTTTTTTGGGAAAAAAGCAGAATATTATCAGAATTTTCATTTTTTTTGTATGCAAAGTTCACATAAACCTTTCTCCCTTTTTTTTTTTTTGCCCCTCAGTCTTTACAGAAAAGGAAACGAAATTTTTGGGAAAGGCCGTTGGCCTATGGGTAAAATTTCGACAATGAGCTCTCAAATTTCAATCTCGAACATCTTAAATTTTCAACTTTCTTTTATTTATTTTTCTAATTTTTTTACTTTTGGATCAAATGCTGAAATTTTGAAGAATGAATGACTTAAAAAATTTGGAATTTTTTTTTGCATAATTACTCCAGAATGTAAGGCACAAATTTGGGCATTTGGGTATTGATTTTCTCTTTTTTTAATCCTAGTTTTTTTTCTTTTTAATTCCTTGTGCATTTATTTTCCTACTTTTTCTGTGCTTTGACTAAACTCGGTGGAAATTTTAGTGGTATTTTTCTCATAATCCCACAAGATCATGGTGTATATTTAGGCAATTAACAATACATTTGGCTCTTCAACCCGTTCTTTAAACCCAAGGTTTTCTTTTAAAATCCTTATTAATTCGCTTTGACTCGTCTCGGCTGAGTAACCTGGCCTCAATTCGACCAGCCTTGACTTGGCTCGGTCGGGTAAGTCGGCTACAAACTCTGCCACGGCAAGTTCTATTGACATACTCAGTTTATTAAAAGCTAGTAAAAGATAAAAACTTTTGTTACTAAACCACTAATATATGATGCATATCAAAGTTTCTATATATTTTTATGCTGATTTGTGAATTTTCTTATTATGTGCTCTGCATTTCCTTTTTTATATGAATCTTGCTCGATTGTTTCAAGCCATAAATCAATTCTTTTCATAATCCCATGCTATATATCTAAGTTAGTTGGCTCCGGCATTGGTTCCGACTGGAGCCGAGTCCCGAGGCCCAGCTCGGCAGTTGTACGTTGCAATCGAATGTTGGGTTATCCTGGAAGTATATGCAAAAACTGAAAATCACACAATTTTTAATAAAATTCATTATATTTAGGCACTTAAGAATTAGAAAACAGACAAGGTATATTTAGGCTATTTGGTCCCAAATTTCGGCTGAAAACTAAAAACTCCCCACAATTTCGCGAAATTTTGATACAATTGACCGTTGGGTTATCCCCCCAAAATAAATGCAAAAATTGAAATTACACACCTTATTCTATAAAAAGTCACTAAGTCCGACTGCTCTCCTTAAATATCCTTAGAATTCATCAGCTTTTAATTTACAATGGCCCTGCTAGGAATTTGGGAGAAACTAGATGGGTATTTTAGTAATGTTCACATGAACAAGGAGTGTTTTCTTGTCTTATGTCATGCTATTGTATGGTCTGTGCTTCCCTCACAAGGAGCATATGTTAGAATTGACGGTTCACATTTCTCCTCCTTTTTAGTGATAAGTTGAGTGGAGGACTCCCATTTCCTACTTGCTATTTCCAATGATGATCTGAGGCCACCATTTATTTTGGTAACTCCATGCCAAAATTGGCTAAATGAATAACCTCTAAATTTTGGTGACTTTGCTCTCAATATTTGTGGGGTATTTTGTGAATTTTTAATAGTTTGATGATGGGATATTTGTTGTTTATTTTTGGTTGCTTCGGACTTGATATTGTGATGGATATTGTTGTTTATTCTTTGTGAGTCTAGCCTTAACATTTAGATGGGTATTTCTTGTTTATTTTTTTGAATTTGATTTAATATTTTGATGGATAATTGTTGTTTATTTTTTGGTAACTTTAGATCAATATTTTGATGGATAATGGTGACTTTGGTCTAAATGTTTTGATGGTTATTTGCTATTATGGGTGGCCTATCTGTATCTACTATGGGGTAGAAGAAATGTTGCCATCAGAGGGGTTGGTGGCTGCAATTCTATATTCTATTGCTTTCAGTTGAGTCTCTGATAAACTACTAGAGAGACTGCCATTCATTGAACCCAAAATAGAAAGTGTCATTTATTAAACCCATAAATTTGTTCTCACTCTTTTGTGCAGAGTCTGATATTCTGTATTCTGTTCCTTTTAGTTGAGTCTGATAAACTACTAGAAAGACTGCCCTACATTGAACCCAGAAAAGAAAGTGTCATTCATTAAACCCATAAACTTGTTCTCACTTTTTGTGCAGAGTTTTGGAAGAGAACTTAAGACCATATCAGGGGCTCTAAGCTTTGACATTTTCAGAGCATGTTCATAATCTAGAACACAAGGTACCCATCATTTCATTCCTGAAGAAACTTCTTGGTATGTAGTTTAGCCTGCATGGGTAATTGGTGACTCTGATTTATTTCATTGTGTTTTTTTCCAGCCCCTTTTAATTTTCACTGAGAACTGGTTCCTTGAGTTCATTAGGTATCATTAATAACCAGTGGAGTATATGAAATAGCTCATGGATCATGGGTTATTTATTACTTATAAAAGAATTGATTATATATTAATTATTTCATATATATTTCAAAACAAGAACACCTGCTTTTGAAGGATTGGATTGGCCCAACATTCTTGTGGAAAGGAAAAGTACTTAATAGACAGCAATAGAGGAGGTTGCTGACCATTTTCAACTGGTTTTAAGAGCTGAAGGAATTCAAAATGAATATTTCTTGGTCTACGAAAGCGGGGTTATTCTTCTATCTAATGATTTTCAACTGAAACCACGCACCTTCTTGAATAGCCCTGGCAAATTTTTATCGCTTTTCAATTGATGCTCTTGGGCTGTCTTTATTTCACTTATTTTTCATAGAATTGAGCAGAACACTTTAAAACACCGAAATACTTTGACATTCTTTTGATATCCACTGAATTTAACATCGAGTAATATTATGACTCTTTCTGTTTTGCCTTGTGGAAAATGTCACATGTCACACTTGCAGAAATTTAATACATGAAAAATTTTCTGAAATTCAGTATATTATTGTTTATCCTAATTTGTGTATGGTTAATCGTAATTTCTTTAGTTTTCATATTTGCATGTATCAGTTTACCTTTTTGCTTTTGTTATAAACCATGCCAACTACCACAATAATTCTTTATGATACACTAAAAATATCCAAGCTCCATTTAATATGAAATGAGGTGCCACATCTCATTGCCTATACTGTGTTCAACTAAATGCTTCGAAGCAACTACTTATTTATATTATACATTGAAGACCTGGATTCACTGATAAGCTGCATTTAAGTGTACATTTAATTTATGCTTTTCATAAAGCTCAAAAATCCAAAGTGTCCTGACAGGTGTAGGATTCTTTTGGTGGAAAGTTTAGCTAAGATGAACAATGCCCTGGCTTGTCTGGTAGTTGTGCTCCTCATTCAGTGCAAACTCATTTCTGGGTCGAATATCTCATCAACCAATGGTCAGTATTTATATCTATGCTTACTTTTCCCTTTTTCATTGGAGATTTCTAATTGTAGTTAGTGCAATCCTTTAAGGAAAATCTGGATGCATGATTTGTATTTTTTTTATCTCATATATATTTTGCTTTTCTTTTTGAGACTTACCTTTTTTTTTAATGGGAGACTTAATTATTATCCTCAACTAATTTCAATTTCGTCCGCCGTAGTCTTAAAAAGTATTATAGAGGATGTATTTCTATATGTTTTAACTGTTCTCCTGCACTTTATAGATGCCATTCTATTTGCTTTGAATTTTTAATTACCATCGTCTTTTAATGTTTTTTTCTCTCCAATTCTTTCCTACCTTTTTATTTTTTAGCTGGACATATTGAATCTCTTGAGTCTCTGATCTGCTTAGAAATTGTCAAAAATTGCTGATAGAGAATAACAGTATCATGTTAACATTCTTCTTGCTTTATTTAATAATGTGGATCTTCAGAGAATGAGGATCAACCCGAAGGATCAGCTATGGAGAAATGGACATGCTCGTGTGCTTCATCATCTGTTGGCGGACAAAGTTTTGGTTTTGGCACTAACTGTTCTACAGCCTGCAATTGTACCCCTGGTAAATTATTCATCCCACAATTTATGGATCTATACATAAGTAGTGTAGGGTCCTTTTTACATTTGTTATAGAGAAATACAAAATATACAGGAAATTAATTGATCAGCATTGTGCCTTTAGGGTCTCATTGAGGGTATCGCCCTTGATAGAGCTGAATGATGGACCACGATCCGTGTAGCCAACCCCAAATAGTTGGAAAAAAGCTATCATGATGATGAAGAATTTGGGCCTTTAGGAAATCCTACAAAGCATTTGTCACTCTTATACACGGATATCCACATAAACTGCTGTGGGTCTATAATTAATAGCCCAGTATTAATTATCTGAGAATACCCTTCCATGTACTGCACATCCCAGCAGCCAAGTGAATAAAAAACTTGGTTTTTAATATAAATAGTAGTTTCAAATAGATGTTTTTAATATAAAAACTTGGTTTTTAATATAAATAGTAGTTTTTGGTGCGGAAGGCAGAGGGCATGCGAAAGGACGGTTAGCTTGGTTTGGAAGAGATTTTTGAACCCAAGACCACTCTTGCTGCAGATCTTGGTGTCTCAAAATTGAGTCAAAGGCTTCATCGACATACATTATGTTCTTACTTGACCACATTTACTTCCGATGATGTCACCTTTTAATGTTGACAATTTTAAGCTGAGAAAGTATGGCTTATTCTTTTTTTTTTCGATATTCATATTGCTCATTGTTTTGTGTCAACTCTATCAGGCGAGCCTTCAATGGCGGCAGACGGGAGGCCAAGCATAATAACATGGTCATGCATATGTGCTTATGAGGGAATCATCAGGTCACAAAGCTACATTCATGATTCCAGTTGTTTTTCATCTTGCAATTGCACATCTGGTAACATTTCATCCTTTATAATACTCTGATCTTGTGAAGTTTTTTATATTGGATGTATCTTTCTGCATTTTCCTGATTGTGAGCAAAGTTGCATGATGTAAAAATGTTGCAAATGGGTCTATTTTATGAGACCTTATATCAACATGAACGGTTTTCTATATCAAATTCAATGCGTCCAAAACCAATTCATATCCCTCAATTGTATACTGCATTTCTAATTTATTGATTTGGTACTTTGGTACTAATTTTGATTTGATATAGAGTTGGATTTTAATTAAAAATTCATCTTTTGTGCGTTATTCAGGTAAAATGAACACATCAAAAGATTCAAAGCATCACATTTCTAGCAAAGTTTTTATAGCTACGTTGGTGCTATGCGCTGTAGTGACGACAATTGTTCTTCTTGCTTCATTAATATTCTATATACGACATAAGGATAAGTACTCAATCCAGAGTCCAATATTCTCTACCGGCAAGGATGGAAGTTCAAATAGCTTTACTAACTTATTGAGCCATAGATCAACTGGAACATCAGAAGTTCAACTGCATTACAATTCGTGCTTTGACCCAATCTCAGGTATTTATATAACTATTTATTACCTTTTGTGGGTTTCGTCACTCATCAGATTTAATGTTCAAATCTGAGAATGTTTTTAAAGCTTCTCTCCCATTCTCTAGTCTATATTCTTTATGCTTAATTCAGATGATAAAACGAGTAACAGCATTTTAACAGTTTCAATGTTTACATACTCTTGGATTTGTAGAAGTCATAGCCAAAGGCTCATCCCTAACTTTGACCAACCAACCTTTGTCCCTTGCTGTGAACTACTTTATCCTTTTGGGAAGTAAACTACATTCTAATGGATAATGGAAACAAACAATCGATTGAGTTCACCACCATCCACCGCATGATGGATGGTGTTGGAGAGGTGAGACCCACCAGAACAGGACATGACCCCCATGGTGGTCCCATACATTCTCTCTCTCTCTCTCTCACACATCACTAATCTCCTTACTAGAGGGTGATGACTCTATTGGATTATTCTTTTTCCATAGTTCACATGATTACAATATGTAGTCCCTAACCTATTACCTGAAATTATGGCTGTTATATAAGTTTGCTACTGAGACACATTCAGAGTGCAGCTTTTTCTCACAGGATGTATACACAGGGCTTCTTTCATGTTTAGAGGCAAGAAAGATACCTTACCTGGAATGGTTACTCAGTTTTCCTACTCTGAATTAGAGCAAGCCACAAATAAGTTCTCCAATGATAACATTATCGGTCTTGGAGGAAGCAGCAATGTTTATTATGGCCAGCTCAAAGATGGAAAAACTGTTGCCATTAAAAGATTGATAGCTCGCAAGGGCTCTGATGCTGAGGTTGGGTTTTTAACTGAGGTACTATCTCTTAATCTTTGCCTATCTGTCTTTCGTGGACTATATAACTTACTTCAAAAGAATAGAATGTGGCTGTAATTGGATTCGTATTCCATTTCCAAAGTAATATTTCAATCATGATAACCTTGGATTGTCATTCCATGATAACCTATCTAAAATGTGAAATATCCTAGTGGCAAAAGAAACTGCTAGAAAGAGCGCTAGCTCTATAAACACAGTTCTTCTCATTTCCCATCTTCATGAAAGACAAGAAAATTTGAAAATTTCAATCATGATAACCTTTGATTGTCATTCAGCGCGATAATCTAACTGAAATTTGAAATTGCCTAGTGGTTAAAGAAATTGCTGTTAACGGTATAAGACTGTAGATTCAATTCTCCTTATTTGTCACCTTCATGAAAAACAAGAAAATATCGTAGTAGCCAACATTGTTTAAAAGGTCATGAACTTTCTCTAGATTTGAAACCGCAGGGAAAGACTTCTTTTCTCCTTCTGTGATATAGAAGATGATTTTATAACAAAAACTTATAATCGCCATTTGTACATATGAGACTGTGGGCTTCTATCCTTGCTATTAAAATTGGACTTGACCATTGACCTGTGTTACCTGAATTTCTTCACAGATTGAACTAATATCAAGGCTGCATCACTTGCACATCGTGCCATTAATTGGGTATTGCTTGGAGTCAAGGGGAAGGCTTGCTGAGAGGCTTCAAGTATATGAATACATGCCTAAGGGTAATCTCAGGGACAATTTAGATAGAGGAGATGGAAAAGAACCATTAGACTGGGTGACCCGAGTAAGCATCGCGTTGGGAGCAGCTAAAGGTCTTGAGTATCTCCATGAAGCAGCTGCTCCAAAGATCTTGCATAGAGATGTCAAATCTAGCAACATTCTTTTAGATTGCAATAGGAAAGCTAAGGTGAGGAACCAAAGATTTGAGATTACATAGGAAGAGAGAGCTTTTCCCTTAGTGTTAGAGCTTTTATTGGCACTGGCACTATATGATTGGTTAGTTTTATGATGAAGTCTCTCTCTCTCTCTCTCTCTCTCTCTCATGCAAAATTTGTTTTTATTTGCGTATGGACAAATTGGAGGTGGGAAATTCCAATTCTCTTAAGGCTGAGGAAAGACCTATGTAGCATGTGTGTTAGACAACGTAACGAGAAGATCTTCACTTGCATAGATGTGTATTAAAGTATAACATATAATAAAGACATAATGGAGGTGGGGCTGCTTCCATTCTCTCAGGACTCAGACCAAGGTGGTACTTATACCAGTTTGGTCCTGATTACTCTCAAATTTGGTGAAAATTTTCCAAAAACTTAAGCCATTACCAAATCAATAATTCCTGGTGAAATTGCAGATAACTGATCTTGGAATGGCCAAGGGGATTAGCACAGATGATCACCATAGCTGCCCAAACTCTCCAGCAAGGATGCTTGGAACATTTGGATACTTTGCTCCAGAGTATGCCATTACAGGAAAAGCGTCACTCAAATCTGATGTCTTTAGCTATGGAGTTGTGTTGCTTGAGTTAATTAGTGGTCGACCACCAATCGATGCCTCTGCCAAGCAAGGCCAAGAAAGCCTTGTGCTATGGGTATGCTCTCTCACTCTCTCTCTTACGCTCGCTCGTGCAGGCAAGGATGCGCACAGACATTTTTCAAAACTATAATCCACTTTGTGCCCCTTACCTCTAGGCTGCATAGGATCCGATCAAACTTTGCGCTCCTATTAACACACACACACTCTCTCTCTATCATGCACACAATCACACACTCTGCTCAGACACATGATCCACTTGTATAGACCAAGACAAGTTTAAAGCCCTCATCAAATCCTTGGGTGGTTTGCACCCACAAGCTCTCTCTCCGTAGATTTTGATACCATACACCATTAAGTCTTGTTTGGTGGAACAGGCTACTCCGTTGTTACAACAGAGTAAGCGTGTGCTCTCTGAGCTGGTGGACCGATCACTCGAGGGCAAATTTGAAGAGGAGGAGCTCTTGATAATGGCTTCCTTGGCAAGAGAATGCCTTAACTGGGAACCAGGGTCAAGGCCATCCATGGCGGAAGTTGTTCACATTCTCTCCACAATATCACCTGACTACAATCTTAAGAGGAGTTTCCCCAGCAGTTATTATCAGGTATTACAAAATAAGATATGCAATCTAAGAATGTCTTCTCCAGACAACAGTTAATCTTCATAGGGACTATCTTTTGTCTGATCATAATGTTTCTTAAATTCTAATATGTTATTCATTTTCAGAGTGCCCATTTCAACACTGGTGGTTCACAATGGCTCCATGATTTGGTCAGCTCAGAGAAAGCTGGTACCCCAAAGCTCACAAAGGCGAGCTCAGAGCGATGGTCATCAAATCGCCAGTCTCTGCCTCTGACTCTGGAAAAGGCGATAATGTGCAAAGAAGACGAAAAGAAAGAGGTTTTGGCAGCTGGGTACGTGGAGAGATTGGTGCTCTTGACTTCCAGGGCTCGGAGCTGGAGATCAGTGGAGGGGGAATCTGCGGTTGACCTGACTGAGCCAAGGTTTGAGAGTTTTTGGCAAGCCAATGTTCAGTCCCTTTGATGAAAGAGTAGGTTTTGGAATTGGTTGAGAGAGAGATTCCTGGCTATAGAGCGATATGAAAGACTGGAGCACTTAATTGGCAATGGCCTCTCTGAGAGAGATGAATAGAAATTGGAGTCAAAATCAAGAAGATACCTTAAAACAAGAGAGAGAAAGAGAGAGGTATACAAATTGGAATCCAAATCAGGAAGATAACTTAAAAAGAGAGAGATGTATACAAATAGGAATCCAAATCAAGAAGATACACCTTAGAGAGAGAGAGATTCCATACGAGTTCTATTTGTACAGTGGGGTTCTTTTCTCATATTTTGAGGAGTGGAAATAGCCAAGTAAATCATTGTCACAGATGGGGATCTTGTAATATTTTATGAAGAGGATGGCATCTCTATGTTTTCTTCTGTTCCGGAGTGGGGGTTGTATTGAATAAAAGAAAAATAGAAGCAAAATTATTGATTTTTTAATATTTTTGTTTTTGTTAACCAACTGTTATTGGTTTTCTTTTCTTTGTCATAGAACAAATAATATATTGGAGAATGTTGAGGACTTGCTAGTTAAGGATAAACTTATCTTTACCATGTATGACCCAATCTATAGCTCTAAAAAACCTCGAGTCCCTTTTGAAAACAAAGCTTAAAGGCTGAAACCAGAACAGTGAGTCTGAACATACAAAACGTTATAATCTAGTTTAAGTCTGAGCATTCAAAATCCTAAAATCGCAACTCCTGATTTTCAATTTGAAGTGAGTTGGAAAACAACCTGGAACCTAAAAATCCTAAACCTGAATTTGAAACTACTAGTCCGTACTTTCAAAAGCCTAACTCCTGAAACCTAAAAAAACAGTAAGAACTTTTGAAAACCTAAACCATAAAGGATGAAATCCTAGGAACGTTTAAACTGCAAAACATTGAAAAACTCAGCAACCGTAAGGCCTGAGCACAATAAAACCGTCAACACCATTCTAAACAAGAAGTTTAACAATAGTGGCGACTTGTCCTATGTTCATGATCTTCATGCGCCACTGAAGGCACTGGATCGCATGTCCATCCCCCACCTAATTTTTTTCCTCATTAATTGAGGTGAAAAGGGTTTCTTTAAGATATTTAGGAGCATAAGGTTAATGGACCCCCCTCTCCCCCTTCCTCTGAGTCCTTAAGTAAAGCTAATTCGAGAAGTGAACCCCAATGGGCTCCTCGCAGGATTTCAAATAGCCACAAGGGGCATGGTTTCACTTTGCAATATGGAAATAATACCTTAACATTTTGCGCCTCAAAAGAGACAAGCACAAAACTTGTTGCTATCCCTTAGGAACTTTGAGGTGATTTCAAAGTGTTAAACGTCAATATGGGAAGGACAAAACTAACGGGTATTGCTGGCCTGAAAGAACAAGTTCTTTGACTATCAGAAATTGTGTAGGGTAAAAAATATGGGATTATTTTTTGTCTGAAGTAAAATCCTATGATCAGTGAGATTATATGATTGAGGCTTGAGAGATCCCAAAGCAAACTAGCTTTGAAGACAAAGTTCATGTCACTTGGGGCACAATCACCTAAATCAGAATCCACAATGGTAAATCTTACTAGTGTACTTTATGTCCTAACTTATAATTCCTGCTTTGGTGGTGAATACAATAGAATCCTTAATGAGAAGAGGCCTGAGGGCAGAGATGAATCAAATAAGAGGTTCTCCTTTGTAAAAGGGCAAAAAGCTCCTGAGGTCAGAGATGACTCAAAGAAGAGATTCTCCTTTGTGAGATGACAAAAGGCCTGTCCATGAAAAAAGAGGTGGAGGACTCGGAATCCAAACGCTAAGTCTAATGAATGAAGTGCACTTCATCAAATAGAGCCAATACATCTTTGGCAGAAGATAGTTATAAAAATGATTTCATGTAACGGGTATACAATTAAACCACACTTCTAGAAAACTATATTTGTAGTGGGGAGTAGAATGGCCAAATAGTGACAAATATTGGGCATTGATCAGGCATCTCAACCATTTGGCGGGGTTACGGGGTATAAACATTTCTCTTCCCCTACTTTGTAGATATTGATGCTTCTTATTAAGAAATGACATGACAGCTCGATTCACTTCTAGAAGGACAAGTGCATAGGGGTTTGACCCCTTAGCCTTCAACGTCCTGGAGTGCTTGCTCGTGCGAAGTAGAGGCTCACAGAATCTCTCACCATTATTGATGAAAACAAAGATATCTAAAGGCTTTGCAGTCTCTTTTAATCACATTTATAGAGAGAAAAATGTGGTCACGGACAACTTAGCCAAAGAGGGGGTATCTAATGCCAACATCACATAATTTTGTATAACCCATTACACTTTTACATAAATTTGATAGTTAATTGACATTCAAAAGACAAAAGAAAAATGTGAGTGTGATGGAAACCCTAAAAATTAAAACTATACGAGGAAAAGTAAATTTGGAGATGGAAAGGAACCCTTACACTCTATGCTGCTAACTCCAATTCAAAATCAACAAATTGCCATGCTTTAACTACAATGGGGATTCAAATGAATGAGTGACCAGCAATCCAAAGCAAAAAAGTAATATACAAAAGGAAAGAGTAGAACATGATAAGACCAACGACACAAACTCCCAAAAAAGGTGAAAAGAGACATCAATGTCATTCTTATTTCAGCTTTTGATGAAAACCATTTGCTACCAGGCCAAAGCAAAATTGAGAATAGGCAAAAATGCCACAAAATGTTATAATATACCATATTTAAGCGATGCTAGAAAATATGGCACCACAGGCATGAATCTACCACAATTCAATAATTTAAGCAAAACTCAAATGAAGAGAGTTCAATAGGGACTGATAGAATCCTTTCCTCCTTGCACAAATTCTCCAGTTCAAGCTAATAAACCCAAATGAAGGGAGATAAATTTTCATTTGGTACTCATCAAAACCATTCTCTCGTTCCTAAATTGCCCAGCTCAAGCAATGCCCAAATAAAGAGATATTTTCACGTACTCATCGCAACCTTCTGACCTTTCCTTGCTCCAGACGTCTTTTGGGCGACCAATCTTGAGAGAATATCTGCTTGCTTTGTGTTCCCCTCTTCACTTAGGGTTTTTATCAGGGATTCAAAACTGGTTGGCTTTTTCATCCCTCCCTTCTCTGTAATTTTACATAAAATTGAATATGCATTCAAGGTTTTGCCTGCAGAAATGAGAGCATCAAGGACAAGGTCATAGCTTGAGAAATTGACGTTGCAATCTCTTTCCAAACAGTAGTCTAACAATTTGAGAGCCGCAATGGTCTTCTCTTTCTTGCATAGTGTAGTCAAAAGATGGTTGAAATCAGGATAACATCCCTTCCTAAGCATAAGATCAATCCTTCCAAGTGCTTCTTCAACATGCCCTCTAAGCAGAAGAGCCTCTAAGATCTTCGCAACAAGGTCAAGATTTTCTAGCACATCTTTGTCTAACATAGTATACATAACCCGGCTAGCTGTTTGAACTCTACCATCTGAGAAAAGGCTGTCCATGACAGATCGAAACAATGAAGGGCTAGGAAGATGGCCACTCTCTATCATACTATCTAAAGCCGTCTTAGCATCAGCAGGCTCACATATCTTGAGATAGCTCTCCACTAAAGAGCTATAAGCATTACTGTCAGAAGGGATTCCCCTCCTAGCCATGATCTTAAGGAGTTCAAATCCATGTTCAGGCATTCTCTCTCTGGAATGACCAGCAATCAAATTGTTAAATGAAAGAGGATCCTGAACACCCAACTTCATCAATTGTCTGAAGAACAATTCGGCTTTTTGGGTATGGCCAATTTCACAGAGGTACCGGATAATTGGATTATAAACACTGGGTTCCAAAGGAGAACCACCGGGATTCAATAGAATTCCATCCTCCATAACCTCATCTAAAAGCTTACCTGCCTTATCATGGAGTCCCTTGTTGCAGTGGCCCTCTATCAAGACCCCGTAATGAGCAGATTCAGGTGAGATTCTCAAATTTTTCATCCCTTTCAAAATATCCATGGCCTCATCTAAATTACCCACATCACATTGAGCCTTCATCACGGTCAAAAAGATCGATGGGTCACTTGGCCTAAAATTTCTTTTCATCATCTCTTTCAGAAGAGTCTGTGCATCATCCATCTTCCCATTTTCATAAAGACCAAGCACCAAAGCCTGATAAATCAATGCATTAGACTTCAATTTCAAGCCACCCATCTCTCTGAAAAAATCTAAAGCCTCTTCGATTCGACCAGCCCCAACAAATCCCTTAATCAGATGTGTATAAGTAATCTCATCTGGAGCCATCCCTTTCTCATTCAATTCATTGAAGGATTTCAAAGCATTTTCCATGTCCCCAACCCTGCAACACCCACTTATCATCGTATTATATGTGATTATATCAGGCGAAATGCCTCTCTCCCTCATATCACTAAAAAATCTATTAGCAGTGGCCATTTTGGTGGATAGGCAAAAACCCCAAATCAAAATATTGTAAGTATATATATTGGGAGAAACCCCATTTCTGATCATAGCATTAAAATACCTTTTAGCCATAAAAGTTCGACCCCGTTTCAGTATAACACTGAAGAAGTTATTGTAACTTCTCACCGTAGGGTCAATCCCCAATTCCTTCATTTTATTGAAGATCTTCACTGATTCCTGAACTATACCAGCATTTCCATAGCTATTGATCAACATATTGAACAAACGCTCATCCCACTCTACTCCTTTCTCTCTCATGGCAAAGAGAATGCACCTTGCATGGTTAAGCATACCAAACCTACCAAGAATCTCAATTATCTTGAGGTGGGTCGAGTAATCGTGGTGAAAACCAGTCTTTTCGACCCACCTAAAGAAATTCAGAGCTTGTTGAGCCTTCTTGGCACCATCCAAGATGTTCAAAACAAGGGGTTTTGTGAACTCAGGGACCAGAGCTCTAATGGAGTTCTGCAACCTGGTCGTCCAAGACCTCTTAGCCATCATTCTAATAATGGTTTCCTCCAAATATTCGGGGTTTCGGGGCTTACCTCTCTCTGACGAAGATCGTGAGCTCTGATCTGGTTCGCCATAGAATTCATGGCTCTGGTTCGAAATGGGTTCTCCATCAATGGGTGGAGTCTCGTTCTCTGATGATTTTGCAGGCGGGTTTGTAAAGAAAGCCCGTAGGGGGTGGTGGAAGAAGCTTGAACGCCATGGACTGGTCTTTTGTCGAAGGATTTTAATGGAGGATTGAGTTGTAGAGGAGGAGATGGAAGCCATTTCTCTTACGGGGGGTGAGAAATTAGGGTTTTAGATCAGATAATCATAGGGTTCAGCAGGATACAGTGATTTGAGAGAAATAGGGATTGTTCAGTCGTGGGTTTTAGGGTTCTAAGGTTTACGGCACAAGTGCAGGAACAGAGTGAGCGAGAGGACGCTGTGGTTTTTTAGGAGCGTTTTGTTAGAAAAACGCCATTAGGGATTTAATTATGTAATTATAGGATTGTATATTATCATGCCATCCACATATATTACACGGAGGCTACAGTTATTTCTAGTCATTGGATGCCCCGTTTTTAAATCTTTTGAATTGTCTTTTTTTATAGGACTTTCAAATTTTATCATGCTATATAATTTTGACGTAAAATATTTTTAAAATTAATTTAAAATTTATTTTTATATCTAATTATAAAATTTTAAAAATAGTTAAAATCAAATAGATTTATAAACATATGAAAATCTTGAAAATGGAGGGTGTAAATAATATCTTGTAAAATGCACTATTATTGAGACTTAAAATCTTTTTATTTTTCATAGTCATACATCTCGATGTCGAGATGATCAATCATATGGTTTTTCAATATTAAAACTACCTTTTCCAATGGATTTTTGAAAGACATCGGGAGTTCTACATTATAAAGTAGCATCTTTATATAAAATTTTTCCTTTCTATATATCCAAGTTGTGCATACAATTTAAGCAACTCAGCCTCACCCTCATTGGACTCGTGTGAGTCGTGTGACAGTGATACTAAATATTCAATTACAATAATAATAATAATAATACTAATAACTAATATATAT